GTTTCTTATTATTATCAATGTTGAAAACAGTTGTGCTGCGTAATAATTTTGTGATTTATTTGAAAGAATGTCTTTAATGTCACTTCTGAATGAAAGTTTACAGCAGGTCAGATGAGTGTTTGTCAGCAGGAGACATTTGATGGCTCAAGCTCAGAGGTCAACTGCTGAAGCAAACAGTGTCACTGAACATCCTCTGGCCCGTGAACGTGCTCTTCCTTGAAGATCGTGTGTCACATTTTCCTTTGGGCTGTTCTTCCACAGTCTGCTCACATTTACACTTATGGTGTTGCCATTCATCTTATTGAGGTACTGGAATTCACTAGTTTTATTCAAGGTACACAAGACAATTCCAGCATGAATCATGTAATTATTTACAGGCAGATTTAAATACTTTATAAGAATTTTGGCTTTTCATTTGTGAGGATTTCACAGATGCAGACCAACCACGTGGAATTTTTTGTTTGTTTGTTTTGCTGTTACACAACTTTATTTTCGCCTGACCCAACCCTCTCAAGAGAAAATAGAATATCAATCTTCAAGAAGACTAGTTTTCATTGCAATGTCCCTGAATGCAGAATCACATCAGAGCAACGGATCTCATGGGTTTCTCTGGAGACTCATATCTGCAAAACAGTATTCTGTATACAGAAGGACCCTCACAAACATTACATTCATTCATTATGAGTTGGGAGAGAGACACTGCCCCCTAGTGTCAGACCATCAAAGTGGACATTAAAAGGTGAGGTAAAAATTGCACTTCATGATCATTTCAACTTAAATATTCAGGAATATGTAACCCATCTATACTAATATTGCAGATTAGTTTATATTGTATGTGCAAGTAATCTTTGCTTAGTGGTGCAAGATTCTTTGCTGGTGTCCTCAATGCATTTTCAGACAATGAGAACATGCAAAATCTGTCTATCTATCTATCTATCTATATATATATATACTATACTAATATTGCAGATTAGTTTATATTGTATGTGCAAGTAATCTTTGCTTAGTGGTGCAAGATTCTTTGCTGGTGTCCTCAATGCATTTTCAGACAATGAGAACATGCAAAATCTGTCTCTCTATCTATCTATCTATATATATATATATATATATATATATATATATATATATTAATTTATCATTTTTTTATATACACTGTGTTCCAAATGATTATGCAAGTGACATATCAGTAGGATTTCAGTCAAATGAAAATTCATATTTTGGTTTTTTTATATAAAGTGTTTATTTGTTTTATTTCTCATATCTTTGTAGATAACTGGTATCAGTCTCAGACAGGTTTGTTAAATAGTTTGCCAGGTCTTCTTAGGGTAATGGAAAACCTACTTAAAGAGGTTGTTCCACATTATTAAGCAAGTTACAGTTCTCATGCAATATGCGGAAGAAGAAAGATCTTTCTGAAGACGAAAAGCATCTAATAGTGCAACATCTTGCAAAAGGCTTAAAGACAACTAACATTTTGTGAAAACTGAATAGAGATTATTAACTGACAAAAGATTTGTGAGTGATTTAGAGCACAGAAGAACTCAGTCAGATAAAGGCTTATTAAGGAAAGTTTCTGTCAAACAAATTAAAAAGGCAGCTATAAAAAGTCACTGTCAAGCAGGAAACACGCCTAACCAAAGCGCACAAACAGAAACCTTTACAGTGGGTGCAGAAATATGTAAATACTATTTTTAAATAGTTTTATTCACTGACTAATGCATATAAATGACCCCTATCGGAGATGGTGATTGTTTCTGAATGACTTTAACTCTTATTTTAATTACATTTCATTATTTAGTAATGGATGATTACTACTTTTTACAACTGCTTTTATTACAGTTTTTCTCAGTCGCTTTGGTGCATTTCTCAAATCAGAAATGAAATTCTCAAAACTACTTGTTCAACCTCCACATCATCTAGTCATTTGTACACATCATAAAACCAGTTTCTCATTCTTTTGAACAAGTTGCGATTGCTTTGGTACATTCATGCAATTGATTATGTACATTTATCTGCGAATGGCACTGATATGTTCATTGACATAAATACTTACTTTTGAGAGATGAACTAAAGATTTTGATTAAGTTACAGGCTTTTGCAGGTAATCCATTTTGTGGTGCTGTTTGTATGAATTGTTTTGAGAAATGCACATACATTTTTGCAAATATTAAGGATGATTTGAGAAATGCACCAAAGCGACTGAAAAAAACTGTAACCATCCGTTAATTAAATGAACACACACACTTTTTCAGTAGAGTACAAAATTAATTCAATTAAGGCTCTCCAAACCGCACCCTCATTCTGCACAGTATTGGTCCGTTACAGCAGACGTCCATCTTAGCGGAGAGAGTGACAGACAGCACTAGATGAATGGGGCGCTGTGACATCTTCATTCTCAGGCAGGTCGGGATCCCAATCAGCTTCAAGCCGCAGGTCCCTTCGCACAGTTAATTAAATCAGTCTGCAAGAGAAAGAGCCCCTCCAGTCCAAACCGCCACCAATGCGTGTTCCACCAACTGTAATTATTACTGTTCCATTACAGTCAAGCAGAATTCATGAACATTTCTCCAGCTAGCAATCAAAGATTTCCTGGAAGAGGCGCTGGAGTGGAAAACACGATGCATGAAATGGCAGGAGAGGTTTTGTTGTTTTCCATCAAGTAAAGAGCATGGCGAATTCACTAAACCATGGGTGTTCAGCTGTTCCAGACCCAGGGACCCCCATCCAGACTCTTAGCCAACCAAAGGACACAGTGTATAAAAAAGGTAAATTAATACTAACAAAGTGCACTGTTATATTGACAACATGACTAAGCATTTTGACTATCTTGTGAACAATGGCACTGATATGTTCATTGACATAAATACTTACTTTTGAGAGATGAACTAAAGATTTTGATTAAGTTACAGGCTTTTGCAGGTAATCCATTTTGTGGTGCTGTTTGTATGAATTGTTTTGAGAAATGCACATACATTTTTGCAAATATTAAGGATGATTTGAGAAATGCACCAAAGCGACTGAAAAAAACTGTAACCATCCGTTAATTAAATGAACACACACACTTTTTCAGTAGAGTACAAAATTAATTCAATTAAGGCTCTCCAAACCGCACCCTCATTCTGCACAGTATTGGTCCGTTACAGCAGACGTCCATCTTAGCGGAGAGAGTGACAGACAGCACTAGATGAATGGGGCGCTGTGACATCTTCATTCTCAGGCAGGTCGGGATCCCAATCAGCTTCAAGCCGCAGGACCCTTCGCACAGTTAATTAAATCAGTCTGCAAGAGAAAGAGCCCCTCCAGTCCAAACCGCCACCAATGCGTGTTCCACCAACTGTAATTATTACTGTTCCATTACAGTCAAGCAGAATTCATGAACATTTCTCCAGCTAGCAATCAAAGATTTCCTGGAAGAGGCGCTGGAGTGGAAAACACGATGCATGAAATGGCAGGAGAGGTTTTGTTGTTTTCCATCAAGTAAAGAGCATGGCGAATTCACTAAACCATGGGTGTTCAGCTGTTCCAGACCCAGGGACCCCCATCCAGACTCTTAGCCAACCAAAGGACACAGTGTATAAAAAAGGTAAATTTTCTCATCAAAACTTTATAATAATTTTCCTTAAGAATGGTTACTAGCTTTGCTACATTGTACAGTGCCTAAAAATCACTAGTTGGACAGTTTGAAATTAATTAATAGTCTAACTGCAAAAGAAGAGAATTATAATATTATATTATATTAGTTTCATTTTTATATATACATATACCCACAAATATTACTATATTATGTACTGTATTATAAAATATAAATAATATAAAATATATAAAAAAATTAGGGCTGTCAATGTTAACACGTTAACACAAATTTTACAATCCTTAACGCGTTAAAATAATTTAATGCAATTAACGCAAAATTCCTGAAGCACAATTTCTATTCTTAACCCTTTAACCCAATTTTGCTTCTCTGCTTGCGATCAGATCATTTTCAGTGTGTTTTGCTTTTAAACACGAGCTCTGTCGTATTCTGTGATTGTCTCTGAAGAGCCCGAGCCCTCACATCTTATATCATTTGGTTCTTTGGTGTTCTTTTGGAGTTTCTAAGTGTCCTTTTTTGGAAAGACATCTAAATTTATCTTGAAAAAAGCTTGCAGAGAATACAGATTTTTCAGAATCACCCTTCAATCTTTTGGTTTACTTTGCTGGATATAGCAAATGATGACAAAATAAACATTTGAAACAAGATAAATGGTCTATGCTTAATTTCATGAAGTGTGTGATTAACCGCGATTAATCTCAGAAAAAGGTGTGATTAATTCGATTAAAAATGTTAATCTATTGACAGCCCTAATAAAAATATAAAATGTATTTTTTAAATGTATAATATATTTTGTAATTATATTTATTATAATTATATTTTGTAATACAGCACAATTAGGTACATTTTAAATGTTCATCCCAATTTGTATATACTGTACATATATACATACACATTAATATATTATATTGTACTGTACTATAAAATATACAAAAAATCTAAAATTTATGTATAGAAAATTGTACTGTAAATTAGTTTTTATATACATTTTTGTAACACATCACAATATAATTTTGTACAATTTAAATGTGTGTGTGTATGCACCCACACATAGAACTATATTATATTGTACTGTATTATAAAATATATATAATAATATAAAATGTATGTATAGTATATGAATATTGTATAATAGTTCTAAAATTTATATTTTAATTTATAAATGTTATTTTTATAATGTATTTTTTGTAATTATATTATAGTTACATTTTGTAATACAGTTCAATGAAATTTAATATGATTAACATTTAAATTTGTATAGTTATATATTTTTATTTCTTTATTTTATTACAGTGCAATACAGTACAATGTGTGTCCAACTATCCGTATATATATATTTTAATGACAGTCATTAGCATATACAAATAAATGTTGCTTTCAACTGACACAATTATTAGTAATTTCCCCCCTTGATTTTGATTGTGGAATGAACATGCTATATTACATTTGCCATCCCTTCAACCTGAAATTGTCAGAAGTTGAGAACAAACCATCTGAACTTTGGACTGGGTTGGAGGGGGCAGCCATGGCCTGTGTAGTGCCCATGTCAGGGCTGTAGAAGGAGTCATGCTCAGCTAGGTGCTCTGCCCCATCATGAGATCTTTGAATAGCCTTAATGACCTCCTCCGGTTCTTCGTACGTAGCACTGACAATCCACTCAGCTCTGGCTTGGAAGTCCTGTGGATCTGCATAAATTGCTTCTGCACTGGTGTCCTGTAATGCGTCATTAATTGCTAATTGCTGGATGGAATCACCCAACAAGTCACCCTCTTCCCGGGGGATCGCGAAATCAGACAACTGCGAAATGTCAGCGTCGGTCTTGAAAGAGTCTTGGAAAGACGCAGACTGCTGGATAGCTTTTCTCAGGTTTTGCCAGTGCATTTTAGGGTCTGTAGGGGAAGCGGCTTTCAGCTGAGCTTTTGACACAGTGGCATAGACGGGTTCCTGATCCTCAAGGTCTGTGTCGATGCTCGTCACTTGACTTTCACTTTGTGGCTCAACTGCATTCAAAGAAAAGCTCCTCCAAAAGGGGTTGAGCATTTTTGATGAATGATTAGGCACTTCCTGCATTTTCCCCTCAGGTAAAAAGTCAGATGCTTGACTACCTATGGTGTAATCGTACGTTTCATCCATGCCCGTGGTTTCTTGAACTATACTTTGTTCTACATAGTCAGGGCTGATTGGCTTCGCTGTGGAGGGTCTGGGTATATTCTGGATGGCTGCACTGACAACATTGAACAGTCTTTCACCCTGATGGGTTGCAAACTCGAAATTCCCCTCGCCGGACTCACATCTGCGACCAGCTTCAAAGGAAAAAGACAGCTGATGGAGAGAAAAGAGAAGGGAAAGTTATGAACTCTATTTTCAGAGCAGAGATGTTTGTCCACAATCACTCGAGCGATAATAAAGACAGGCTGTTTATTTCCCAGGAGAAAAGGCATGCAAATGAAATTCAATGCGTTTAAAAGAAGAAACTTCACACCTGCTACACTAACACTAACAAGTGGAGAAAAATGACATGAATATTTAACCTACAAAGGATCAATGTCAAGATGAAGAAAAGGAAAAATCATAACAGAATCTTTATTCAAGGTGGTTTCAGATGGTTATGAAATATAACTTTTATTTGAATGAATTTATAATGTCATGTGGTGTAACCATTAAGGGAAAAGTAATTTCCTATACAACCTAAACTAACTCATAAAAAAGGGCAAATTATCTGATATTTTAAGGCTTATTGACCTTAACACAATCATGAGGGTCTGCATGTATACAGTGTTGGGGAGTAACTAGTTACATGTAACGGAATTACGTAATTTAATTACAAAATAAAAGTAATTGTAATCAGTTACAGTTACTGAGAAAAAATGTGTAATTAAATTACAGTTACTTATGAAAATGTTAAGGATTACAAAGGGGGTTACATCTGCTTTTTTTCACACACACTCCCACATACAGATTTAATTGATTTCTTCATAAATTGAAACACCAATGTTTCAGAAGTTTATAACAAGCTTATGTATATGCTTTATTTTTTTAAGATTAACAGTTTTTTCTAAGGCATTGTTAGATTCCAGTGTTTCCTGTCATAGCTATGCAAAGATTTGATTTCAAAAACAGTATCATAGCTATTAAACTATTTCTTGTTATGATTTTAAATATGTAATTAACCTCAGAACAATCATAAAAGTAAAATGAGGTGCTAAAGTCTGATTTTGTGGTGGCTTAATCTTCAAGTGATGAAGGATTTTGAAAGTCTGACAG